TATATATATATATATACACACACAAGCTAAAATTATTATTGTAAGTGAGGATACAAAGATAAAATGTTTAAAACCAACTACTCTTCACTAATATTTCTAATGTTATGTTCAATGATAGTTGATCCAACATATCTAATACTCACAACAGAAAACAACTCTAATTCTTAGAATAGATCTTGTGGAAAGTGCCTGCAGTAACTTATGACACAACATACTTATAAATACAATCACACAGGTGTCTCACACCTTTTCTTATTCCCTGCTTTGATGTGACTCACCCTCTCAGCTACTTTCTCCACCCCTTTCCTCAGCTCATGGGCCATGTCCCCCATCTCCAGGGCTTTGTTACTGCTGAAGCTGTTGAAGTCCTGCTGGTGAGCCATGCTCTGGTGCAGCTGGAACAGGGGGTCCCTCCAGGCCATCAGCAGTTTAAGAATCACCTCCGTTAACTCTTCACGCTGACACGCAAGAATTTAAACAGTTAAAAGCCACAGTTATGATAAGAACAGTATTTGAAGTCTCATTTCTACAGGTGTTGATTCGTCTGAAACTATATATAATATACTAATGAGGCTGGAGAGTTTGAGGAGATGGTTGCTGGGTTACTTAATTTAGCAGATGTGACATTAAGTGCATTAATTGATGGGACAGTTCTCTTGGGACGGGCTGCAGTTAAGTGCTTTGCTCAAGGGCACAGAGGTGATAAGACAGCAGTGGGATCAGAGAACACAGTCCATTAATGACAAGCAATGGCAGCAGAATCACACATGCTCGACATGATGAATGCACCTTAGAGCTGAACTTGCAATCCGAATGGGGACGTTTTTTTAGGAAGGGGTTGTTGGCTGATTAGAATGCTATACTCACAGCTAGTTTCTGTGCATTCTCTTTGCCGTTTGGAGTCAGTATGCTGGAGGTGTGACACTTGCGGTAGATCTTTCCAATATGGTTTTTGCTGGGCAGGAAATACTGTTCCTTTAGACAAAAAGAAAAGGAGAGAAGATGAGGGGATAGTTGTTTAGTTTATTAATTTTACAATTTTATATAAATATAGTTGTATTTAAATGTTAGAATACAATCATTATTTATCACTTTAGTCAACTTTTAATTGTATATAATTAATAATATTGATTTTATGCACTTTTAAAATATCTCAAATGTCCATTATTATTTAAATTCAAACTTTATATTAGCAAAAGTAGTTAATTTTGAGTTTTCATTATGCATTTTAAATATCTAAAAAGACTAATATTATTTTAATTCACACTAGATGTTAAAAAGAGTACATTTTGTTGTTATACATTTTATTATGCACTATAAAATATCTCAAAATGATCAGATGCACTTTTAAAATATTTTTAAAAATGTCTATTATTATTTAAACATACTTTATATTAACAAAAAGAGTTAATTTCGCTGTTATGCATTTTTATTATGCATCTTTAAATATCTAAACGTTTATTATTTTAATTAATACTTGATATTAACAAAAATAGTTAATTTTGTTGCTATACATTCTATTATGATAAATATCTAAATTAATATCTAAAAAGTCTTACATGATATTAGCAAAAAGAGTTGATTTTATCTGTATTATAAAGAAAAAAAATATTTCAGTCAGTTTATGCAATTTATGCTATTTTTTGTGTATGTAGTAAGTTGGTTGTTTTTTTCCTTTTTTAGATAAGTAGATTATTTAATTTAGATAATAACTTTAAGTAATAGTTATACAAATTAGCAATTCATATACTGTGCATTTTGATATACATGATCATTTTGCCTAAAATGCATTCTTGCATTACAAAATTTGGATATGATACTGTAGCATCTGCACAACATTTTACAGCCTCCTCACTTTACAAAGACAGTTGCATAAGAACAATTAGTAAGAAGAGACAGATGTGACTCACAAACTCTGAGTGCAGATCGTTGGAGAGGCTGTGCATTCTGGCAGAGTGCTGAATGACCCTGTCGAAGAGATCTGCCAGGGACGGGACGTGGCATCCTGATGGCCCATGTGCGCAGATGGGTGCAGAGGCGACCCGGCTGTGAAGATCCAGGCACAGAAGTGCCACAAGCAGCACAGCCACTGCAGGCAGAAACGAACCCAAAGAGAGAAAGAAATAGAGACAGAGAGTAGAAGAGCAGAGGGTTAGAGAAAATCTAAGTTCCTCAGAGAAAAGCAGGAGAGTACATCCACAGATTGAAAAAGAGTTTCTGATTCTAACTGTAGACAGCCACATGGGCTTCAAAAGCTAGCTGGTCTCCTTGAATCAGAGCCTCTGTCAGTTCATAGAAATACCTTGCTTCAGGCTCCTGGACATTCTGAGAGGAGAGGAGAGGTTGTGGAAAAGCAAGGGGTCGGACTGCTATTTAAAGTGCCCAGAGTTTAGGTGCTGAGGGACGAATCTGGCCATTAAAGAGAAGAGAAGAACGAAGGGGGCGGGCATGAAAGTGTGCGTGTGTGATGATGGCGTGATTGTCATAGTCCATTGTGTCTGTTCCTTCAATCAGATGGTGACTAATGCCGCTTCCCCCCACCGAAGTCCCTGAAGGCTACACACTTTAATTTTGCGTTCTTACCTCTTTAACCCTCTCTCTCATCTGTACTGTCATCTGACCCATCAGAGTAACATTGGGTGACTAGCATGCTTGCCTTCTGACATCCAACATAACCCAAAACGCCAGTGAGTCGTGCACTTTAAATAGTCATTGTAAGGAAAAAATATTTGACAGCGATGGACTGAGTTGTCTTTGGAGATTTTAATTAATTCAGCCATGTAAGTGTTCAGTGATGCATTTGAATAATTCCAAAGACTGGAAAATGCCATACATGAAAGTAAATATATATAGTAAACAAAATAAATGCATTTTTCTTGCATTGTAACATTAAATGGTGGTTAGAAATTTTTTATTTATTTATATTAATATATATATATATTATATTATATTATATTTATTATATTCATGTTGTTTTTTCATGTCTTGCATTGGTTGCATTAAATGAATTATATATTGCATTATATTAAATATTGAGGAGGATTGTATTAAAAGAGAATAGGAGAACTATGTATATGACCTATGTTAACACTATGCTGACAACACAGAGAATGTTTGTGAAGTATGAAATAGGAAGATAGTGAAAACTGGATATTTTTGAGTCACAGTGAACACTTAAGTTGAACAGTGTACACTGTTTCTGTTTTTTAAGACTCAGTTCACTCAGGGTGAACACATTGATCTGACAAAAGCCAACAATCATTGGAATTTGATGTTTGATGGGGCAAATACGATCTGCTTTTTCTTTTATCCCTTTGTGTTTGCATTCAACATGTCTTGCTGCATGTGCTTGGTAAGAGACACTTGACCTCAGACATTTGTGTTAGTGTGATTGGACGTTCAGTACCACTGTGACGACCATCATACTCCACCCGACCCTCAAGGCACGATATGTGTGGCTATGACAAGTCGACGTTAAACTGGATGGAAATATGACGTCAGAAAGCTGGATATGGTCAAACATAGACAGGGGGACTATTCTCTCAAATGTTCAGGGATGAAAATAGTATGCGGACAGAATGCCACTTCATATGATGATATGTGTGAAACAATTTGACAGAAGGGATAGGGATCAGGTGACTGGATATAAATCTGTAGATGAACATTATCTACAACTAAATATAGTTTTCTTTTGTTGCTAAAGTATTTACTCTTCCATTCAAAAGTTTGGGGTTGGTAAGATTTTTTTTTGGCTTTATTATGATAGGACAGCATAGAGCTGATAGGTAGCAAAGTGGGAGAGATGTGGGATCGGGAAAGGTCCTCAAGCCAGGATTCGAACTCAGGAAGCCCATAGCACAACAGTGCTATACGTCGGCACACCACCCACAAGGCTATCGACACCAATGTGGTTGGTAAGGATTTTTTTAAAAATAGAAATTGTTTGCATTTATTTGAAATAGAAAGTTTTGTAACATTATAAATGTATTTTTAACGCATCATTGCTGAATAAAAATATTAGTTTCTTTAAAAAAATAACCTTACTGACACCAGACTTTTGAATAGTATAGTGTTTTTCATTGCTGTTCAAGAACATAATTTAAGAAATGAGCCCTGCCATCATTAATGTGTATAATTAATTGAGCCACAAATCAAGATTTTTGCCTGTGGGGGAACAAAAACTTGTCATAAAAATCGTCTCCAGGTTACGTATGTAACCATGGTTCCCCGAAGGGAACGAGACGCTGCGTCGAAACGCTATGGGAACGCCTCCAGCGTGACCACGCTCTGAATCATATGTGTAATCAGTCCAGTGGATGGGCAAGACGTCACGGGCGGGGTGATGTAGCGACCAGGAAGTATAAAAGCACGTGCGGTGAAACCGGCGTCAGCTTCAGGAGTGAAGCAAGCGCTGGCAGGGATGCCGGAAGTATGGCCCTGAGACGCAGCGTCTCGTTCCCTTCGGGGAACCATGGTTACATACGTAACCTGGAGACGTTCCCCTTCAGGAACTCGAGCTGCGTCGAAACGCTACGGGAACGAGAATGCCCACGCCGCCAGACTTGCAAATCCCTGCCTAGTGTGGAAGAGCACAACTAAGGCGAGAGAAAAGGGAGCCAGGAATGGCTAAAGTAGGCGGGGGCCGCCCGAAGGCCAACTTCTGGAGGAGTGAGCCTTGACCCCCGAAGGAGAGGGGAGATCAGAGGGCTCAAGGCTATGGAATAGCATCCTGATTCACCACTTAGCATGAGCTTCTCTGGCCGGAGGACTCGGCCTCAGCGCACCGCGGAGGAAACGTGTAAGAAGAGGGTGTCTTCCCACTGAATGGCCACCGAGGGGAGTGGTAGGCTGCAATAGCCGCCACGAAGACCTCTAGGGTGGTGCGGGTCAACCCTGCGGATAAACAGGCCTGCAGGGAACAACCTCTCACCGGGGTGAAAGAACCGCAGCGCGGGCTTCCGAACCCCGGGAGCGGGCGCTGGATCTGGTAGTCAAGGAAGAAGATAGGGACTCGCCCGTCTACATTCCCTCCACTGGATCCATATGCGAAACCCACGAGCACAGCCGCCGCTCCGCCTCGGCGAAAGCGGGGCCGGCGCCGCGAGAAA